AAGTTTGCGCGTGCAAGTGCGCTCGTGCAAGCGTGCTCCTGCGAGTTTGCTCGCGCAAGCGTACCTGTTTGCCGACATGTTCGTCGTGTCCGAAACCTGCTACTACTAGAGAATAGAGGCTTCCCCCCCCCGAGCGGGCGTCACATACGCCACGTACTGCCGGCTCCCCGTCGGCTCGGGTTTGCGGACGCAACTTCAACTTGGCCTGCAGTGATTTTAGGCAGGCGCAAGCATGCAAAATGTGGAAACCTGATTGCTAGTCAGGCCACACTGATCCCCAGTCACGCTCGGCTCAGCTTCGCTCAGACTTTGGGTGCTTCCGGTGGCGGACTGTATCGCGAAGCGTCTCGATTTACTCTGAAAGCCGCCAACGTGTTCGGTTTGCCTGCTTTTCCGGTGGCCGGCTGTATCGCGAAGAATCTCAATTCACTTCGAAATTCAATGTAAGACCGTGACAAATGACGCCGTGTGTTGCCCTTTTGTGTGTCGGATGACATGAGTCACAATCAAACCTGGTACTAGAATGGTCGACCCCAAGAACTTGTAAAGAATTAACATGGCGGCTGCACTCATTTATGGTTGGGATTTTCCTACCCAGGTTTTGATTGTGGCTCACATGCCTTTTCTAGGAGCTCTTTCTGGGGGTCTGCGTTGGCTTGCGAACGGTCTCAAATGTATCTCTTGCGCCTTTCGCTGGATATCTCCAAACATGCTCGAGGTTCAAAATGCGCAAACGGCTTTGCGATTCCCGAAAACGGACTCAGACAAGAGCCCCTTCGTACCAGAGCCTAACATCGGCTCCAGTTCACTCTGCAAGAAAACAAAGTAGGTGGCGAAGAAGTGTGCTCGGTGAAATGGCTGACTGAGCTGGAGGCTCTAAAGTTTGCTGGTGCAAGTACGCTCGTGGAAGTCGGCTGATGATTCTTCCAGAAGACCCCTTCGCAATGCTTTCGGGGGGGGGGGGGAAATCGTGGAAATCGTGGGCTCTTTTGTCCCTTCACAAATCTACAACGTAAGCTCCCCATACGGTCTAACTGTCAACTAGGCTCTGTCTCTGGTCCTTGCCTGTACGGTTCCATACTCATCGCGGTTGTTCCTGTCCTGGAACTCCACCTGAGCGGTAGCTAGGCCACAATTGAGTGTCCTGCACATGGCAAATTTCCAGAAATGCGAGAAGGGCACAAGCTCATGTATCTGCTTCAAGTGCCCGTGCAAATTGTACATGCCTTCGGAATCAAGCTGTCAGTTCAACTGTCCCACCACATCGCTCAGCCAGCGCCAATGTCGCTGGACATCTTGGGCCGTGGCGAAGCAAGTCACGTAGGGCACCCCGTGGGTTGTTCCGGGGACGATGTCTTCCGGACTGAGCAGGATCGCAGGCTGTCGACTGACCAAAGGCTGCACGGAGCTGCAAAGATGCGGTCAAATGCACCCTCCCGTAAGTGCAGGGTTCATCATCTAGAGGATCCTTCTGCTTGCAATTGTGTGTTGAGCAATCTGTTGTCTAGTAATGTGTCAACTGCAAGCATTCTGAGCAAGAAAAAGCCTCTCAACTTACCAACATAATCCTGCATAATGTGCAGCCTCTGCCAAAAGTGCAGAGGATGAACTGCAAAAGCTGGGGCGGATTCTTTGTCAGGCTCTGGAACGGCATCTCTCTGGACTGTGCCCGCCAAAAGGATCTGTTGACTCAACCAGCACAAGAGCAAATGCGTTAGCACCAGAAACATCCAGAACAATGCTTTTTTGCACATCAGGTGGCTTCAATGACTTTCGAGCACCCAATGCAACAATACTTCGATCCACTGAAGGACACCTTTCATTTCTGAGGGCTCCCAGCTCGCCAGTAGACTCCTCCAGCGTGATATTCATCTCCTCGCTCGTCACATGGCATTTCGATTGCACCGAAAACGTCCGGCCCTTTCCATCCAGCTTGTCAAAGCTTTGGGCTTGGAGACACCTTCCCTAGACTCGTTGCAGCGTGCCATCATTCATTTGCCCAACTGAAAGAACCCTTTTGCTCTTTGGCTTGCATTTTAGATGGATCTAGAACATATAGTATATCATCTAGTATCAACCCTGAGCTGCACACAGCTACACTCAGATTCACTCACCCCAAGTTTGCATGTTCATTCTCAATGCGTATAAATGATCGCTGCCTCCCGTATGCCCACGTGGGCAGGAGATGTAGATACATCTGAAACTGCCATGCGGCGCATCCTTCAGCCGATCTTTGAACTCCTCCTCCTCTGTCTTCCTGAACATGCGGATGCACAAAAAAAACATACACTACCTTAGGAACCGTGGCAATCGGAGACTTCCTGATTCACTGAGCAGGAACAGGATCTTATTCATCTTGGACATCACTGCAACTATTCCCAATCTACAAAATCGGAAAAGTTTGACTCATTTCGGCCTATCTAAACTACGAAACTCAGATCTTCGATTCTCGTTGCGCGCTGACATGTTGCAGCCATACTCGAGAACTTCTGCGGGCGAC